GAGAGAAATAGAAGGAGGAGTTACACATTTTTATATCAAATGAATTTAATCTCCTTTAATTAACTAATGCACCATTTCGTATCATGGAATGACAGCCCTTTAATTGAGCAATGAAGGCCTTAATTGAGTAATGGCCGTTTCACACAATGAAATGCCATCCACTTTAATTGGGTAATGCACCGTTGCTTTAACTATTGAACCGTTTCATACCACGGAATGCGGAAGTGGTGCACTGCATCATAGATGGCCTGAAATTGAGTGCTTTATTCTTACAATACAAGGGGGAAATAGGGAGAAAAAGAGGGGAAAAAAAGATAAATAAGTTTCTTGGCCAAAGAGAGAGGTGCCAAGTCACCTTTTCTATTTTCTCATATATATAGTCAAATATCTCTGTAATAGCCTCATTTATTCCGAATATTTTTGGGTGTTATAGCGAAGTGCTGTTATAGAGAACATCTATTATATCATAATTTAAAAATTGGTTCCGAAAAATTTAGTTTTAATAGTGAGATGTTATTAAACATGGCGACTCATATAACCCCTACCATAACGACCTACTGTTGGGGCATGGGCAACAGAGAAATGGCCCTGACTCTCGAGACCTCTTGGCCTCCCTCTTCTCTCTCTCTCCCTAGCATGCATACCCTCAATCTGACAGCTACAGTAGGGGCGCGGGTGCCTGATCATCTCGTATAGCACGTGTCCTCACCATCTGTGAGAGAATAGAAGACAAAAGTTTAGAATCGTGATGTCAAAATATCGCACACAAGGAAATCAAATGAAGTGGAGTTTTCCTAACAGTTACATAGCCTCTCGTAGATAGGTACAAACGTCTCAGTACCGAACTGCGAGACTCTAATAAACCGGCTTGTGATTTATGACTCCTATGAACCTAGAGCTCTAATACCAACTTGTCACGACCCCAGTTCGCCCTCTGTGAACTGTCGTGATGGCTCCTAGTCTCTACGACTAGGTAAGCCTAACAAATGCGGAACATAAACGAAACTTGTGGAAGAAATAATCAAAAACCAAAATAACTGAATGGAAACAATAGTTATAATGCCGCTCGGCATATACAACACAACATTCTCAAAACCAAGTACACTATCCCAAAATGCGGAAACTCACGGAAACACAAGCCTTTGGAATATCTAACAGTCTAACTCCAGAATATCTAACAAGAAAGACAATACAAAAGGGCAATGTTTAACAGCTAGAATAGAAAGGTACTCCTCGGTCTACGGACGCGGCAGATGTACTTCGAAGCCTCTAGAGTAGTCATCTCCCTCAAAGATGGTAGGCTTGAGTAGCGGTACATGGATCTGCACATGAAAAACATGCGCAAAAAGGGCATGAGTACACCACATCGGTACTCAGTAAGTGCCAAGCCTAACCTCGGTTGGGTAGTGACAAGGAAGGTCAGGGCCCTAATGAGGTTAAATACAATATAAACAGTATAGAACATAACAATATAAATAAGTATAGTAGTAAAATAACACAGGATGTACAGGACAACAACAACTATACAGAAACAAGGAAAACACGGAAAGGAAATACAGCTCAGCACCAATAATAACGATCGGGGATCTCCCAGGATACCGTCCTGTAGTCCCATGTGTACATATCTAATGGATCTCCCGGGATCCCGTCCCATAGTCCAACTCATAATGCGCGGGGATCTACCGGAATCCTGTTCCATAGTCCCAAATGTAAATACCCAGTATTGGGGAATCTACTAGGTGCATTCCCGTAGTTCCATATAACTGTGTAGTGGGATAGACCGGAATCCTACATCCGTAGTCCCAAAATAAACAGACAAGGGGGAGCTATCGGAATCCCACATCCGTAGTCACAAAATAAATACACAACAACAACAGAAAAATATACAGAAATGACAAAACTTCATATTAAGGCAACAAGTGATTCTAGCCTAGCATGCTGCACAGAATTCAGGTAAGGCAGGTTGAGCAAATAAAACAATTAAGTCACTTAGACATGCTTTCCTAAGCTAACAGCATGCTTAATAGTGCTAGTAATAGAGACAGGAAAGGAAATATACTAGTAATTACTTAAAGAAAACCGGATTTCCAATAATTAGCACAAGTACGCACTCGTCACCTCACGTACAAGTCATTTCAATTACCAAATATACCAATCCTTAGGGGAAAGTTCCCCACACAAGGTTAGACAAGCCACTTATCCCGAACCGACTCAAAATCAACACGAGACCACGTTCTTGCCACGAGTGCCCGACTCCAAATGGCCCAAATCTATTCAGTTCAATTGCATAATGTAAATAACACTTCAAGTAACTGATTCTACAATTAAATTCTAAGCTAATACGCGGAATTTATGTAAAATGACCAAAATGCCCTCGGGCCCACGTCTCGGAATCGGGTAAAATTTATATTTCCAGAAACCTCGCACTCTCACGAGTTCAGTTATATCAAAATTACCAAAATCGAACCTCAATTTGTCCCTCAAATCATCTCAAATGTGTCTAATTAGACAGGCCCTAACCCCAATTACCACTGATTTTCCTTAATTTTTCATGCTTAAATTGATAAAAATCATTCCAATAACGAGTTTAGGGACTAAAGACCTTATCCCAATGAACTCCTCTATAAATTCCTCTTGAAAAGTGCTCCCCAAGCTTCTTCCCGTTTTGAAAAAAAGATGAAAAATGGCTAAATTTCGCGAAGGCAAGAATTCATATGTTCTGCCAGCAATTTCCGCATTTGCGGCCCTGGGTCCGCATCTGCGGTCCCGCTTCTGCGGAGCCAAGGTCGCACCTGCGATATTTCATTAAAGAAGGACTTTTCGCACATGCGACTACCTTACCGCAGATGCGGTGCTGCTTCTTCGGTTACCTGAACGCATCTGCGATCGACTCCCTTTTTGCCTCAAACCGCTTCTGCGGCCTCTGAGCCGCTTCTGCGGCGCCGCACCTGCGGAACCCAAACCGCATGTGCGGTTATGATAGAACCAGCAGCTGAATCTGCAACTCTAACTCCAAAATCTTTCCGTCAACCATCCAAATTCATCCCGAGGCCTTCGGGACCTCAACCAAAGGCACCAACAAGTCACAAACCACTATCCAAACTTGTACCAATCCTTAAAACACCTAAAATAACATCGAAACCTTGAATTAACCATGGATTTAAGCCTAAGAACTCCATAATTCTCAAAATACGCTTTCGATCATAAAGTCTATCTAACCTCGTCCGAATGACCTGAAATTTTGCACACACATCACATTCAACACTACGGAGCTACTCCAACTTCTGGAATTCTATTCCGACCCTCGGATCAAAATCTCACTATCGGACCGGAAACTTCAAAAATTCAACTTTCGACATTTCAAGCCTAAATTAGCTACGGACCTCCAAAACACAATCCGAACACGCCCCTAAACCAGAAATCACCTAACGGAGCTAACGGAACTGTCGGATTTCCATTCCGAGGACGTCTTCACACTGTTCCAACTACAGTCAACTTTCCAACACTTAAGCTCTCATTTAGGGACTAAGTGTCCCAAAACTCCACAAAACTCAAAACCGAACGTCCTGGCAAATCAAAATAGCAGAAATAAACTCGGGGAAAACAGTTAATAGGGGATTGGGCCGTTAATTCTTAAGATGACCAACCGGGTCATCACAACAAAGATTTACATAAACTTACCCTTTTCAAAGTGAAAGAAAAAACATTAACCTTATACACTCGTTGTGATTCGCTGGGCGTATCAGCATATGTGTGTTACTTTTCCAAGAGCTACATACAAAGAAGGAAGGTATATCAATTAATTTTAATAACCATATCACAGGTGATACTTTCAGAAAATGAAGCATGATGATCAGTGGCGAGTCAGGAATTTTCTCAAGGATGTTCAAATTTGAAATAAATAAAAAAAAAAATTCGACAGAGGGTATTCAATACATGTTATGTACCTCTAAAGTTTAATATTTTACCTATATAAACAGTATAATTTTTCAATAAAGGGTGGTCAGTTGACCATCCTAACCCAATTGTGCCTTCGCCCCTGATGATGACATTGATATGCCCTACTTCTTCTTCAGTATTTATGCATTGTCCACAAGCAGATATCGACAAAATATACAAAGCAAGTACGAAGAAGAAAATAAGGTGAAAGATGGGGTGGTGAGATGAACAGTGTGCAAATATTGTGACTAATTAACCCCTCTTCACCATTAACATGGCCTAATACAGTATGGAGGAATATGATTTCATTCATTTATAGTATGAGAGAAATAGAAGGAGGAGTTACACATTTTTATATCAAATGAATTTAATCTCCTTTAATTAACTAATGCACCATTTCGTATCATGGAATGACAGCCCTTTAATTGAGCAATGAAGGCCTTAATTGAGTAATGGCCGTTTCACACAATGAAATGCCATCCACTTTAATTGGGTAATGCACCGTTGCTTTAACTATTGAACCGTTTCATACCACGGAATGCGGAAGTGGTGCACTGCATCATAGATGGCCTGAAATTGAGTGCTTTATTCTTACAATACAAGGGGAATATAGGGAGAAAAAGAGGGGGAAAAAAGATAAATAGGTTTCTTGGCCCAAGGGAGAGGTGCCAAGTCACTTTTTCTATTTTCTCGTATATATATATATATATAGTCAAATCTCTCTGTAATAGTCTTGTTTATTCCGAATATTTTTGGGTGTTATAGCGAAGTGCTGTTATAGAGAACATCTATTATAACATAACTTAAAAATTGGTTTTGAAAAAATTTAGTTTTAATAGTGAGATGTTATTATATAGCGATGATGTTATAGAAAGGTCCGATTAATTATTAAAATCAATCTAATTACTTATATTAATACCATGAGACCATTAGTATATGAAACTTACTTTTTTTTTAAGAAAGAAAACTTTATATAAAAATAGAAGACTTTATAAAAAGCTATCTTTTTGTTGGAATAAAGGTTGAGTAAAAGGATTGATATTTTAGAAAATTTTGCTGTTTTTATTGGGGGCAACGCGCTGACTCATGCGCTCTATGCTCAATCTAATTGGGAAGTAAAAACAAAGACAGCATTCGCGAAAACCAATGATATATCTACAAAAGAAGAAGAAAAAAAGCAGAAAGTTAAAACCAAAACCAAAACCAGCACCTGCAGTTAATATGGAGAAATTAGCAGAAGTGATTCTGATCCCATCTCCGGCAATGGGCCATATTGCTCAGATGCTAGAGTTAGCAAAACTCTTTTTCCATCAAAATCATCATCTCACAATCACTGTCCTTATTATGAAACTCCCTGATTACATTGACGCCGTCAGTGGACCTTTCGTTGACTCTGTAGCTGCTTCATCCTCCTCTGATCGCCTTCGATTTGTTCACTTACCAGCAGCTGATCCAACACCAGAGTGGGGTTCCAAAACTCGAGGACATTTCGTCTACAGATTAGTACAAAGCCAAAGATCTCACATCAAGGATTTCTTAATATCTCAACGCTCTAGTAAAACACTCGCTGGTTTTGTTGTTGACATGTTATGCACTCCGTTTATGGATGTAGCTGACGAGTTTAAGATCCCCAGCTACGTGTTTTTCACTTCCCCAGCTGCTTTTCTTGGACTAATGCTTCATTTCCAGTTTCTTGAAGATGAGTGTCAACAAGATGTTTCTTTGTTCAAGAACACTGATAGTAGTAATCTCTTATCATTTCCCAGTTACGCGTACCCTGTTCCTCCTAGTGTATTGCCAATGGTCCTAGTCGATAGAGACACATGGCTAGGGAGATTCCTCGATTTCGCTCGTGGATATAGAAAAGCCAAAGGCATTATTATCAACACTTTTGCTGAATTAGAAATCCATCAATTAGATGCTTATAAGAAAAACAACTGTAACATGTCAAGATCTAAACAGGATCAGGTTCCACTACCACCTATTTATCCAATTGGTCCAATTTTGAACCAGTCAAAATCCAAGTCAGAGTCAGAGGAGGCAGAAATAACAAATTGGCTTGATCAACAGCCAACAAAATCAGTTGTGCTAATATGTTTTGGGAGCCAAGGGAGTTTACCACTGGACCAAGTGAAACAGATCGCTTTAGCTTTGGACAACTGTGGCTGCAGATTCTTGTGGTCTTTACGTCAACCCCCACAAAGCAATAATGCGCAATTCCCCGGAGAATACACGAGCTATTCCGAAATCTTACCAGAAGGATTTCTTGATCGGACAGAGATAAAAGGGAAAGTAGTAGGATGGGTCCCGCAACTGAAGGTTTTGTCCCACGAGGCAATCGGGGGATTCGTGTCACATTGTGGTTGGAATTCAATACTCGAAAGTATATGGTGTGGGGTGCCTATAGCAACATGGCCATTGCATTCGGAACAGCAAGTGAATGCGTTTCAGTTAGTGAAAGAAGTAGGAGTTGCAGTGGATATCACTTTGGATTACTGCGAAAGGAATAAAGATCAGCCAATGGTAACTGCAGACGCCATAGAAAAACGGATTAAAGAATTGATGGAAATTAATACAGCAGTAAGAGAAAAGGCAAAGGAGATGAAGGAGAAGAGCAGGGCTAGCGTAATCGAAGGTGGATCGTCATACTTGTCCCTCGGCAAACTCATAGATGAACTACTGAAAAATGCAGCTTTGTAACTTCCAAAATTACCAAAAATGAGGTAAAGTTTCAGTAAGAAAGACCTTTCAGTTAGTAATAAAATTGGATTTCCCACTAAGAGTTGAAATAAATTATCTTCTACTCAGTTTATAGATCCTTGTATTTATCACTATTTAATCATATTATCTTGTTATATTCTCTTTTAATTTTTGAAGAATATTGAGAGGTTAGAATTAAATTGAGACAATAATTAAATTGTTGTTAAGCTTCTTATCCTACTTAGTCCTACATTTATTTATATACCAACTTGTTAATCTTGTATAAAGACAAGTTCAGATCATCTATTCTTTTGAAATCTGTTGGCAAGGAACTTTTTAATGTCAACTATACATATTCAACATTTGGACAAAATCAGTCGATCGATGAATAAAATAGGCCAACTAGCTACACAGTCAATATACTAAACATATTTTACAAAAGTTGATTTGAGACTTTGAGGATAAGATTGATGGAATATATACCACAGCGGAAGCAATAACAGAATCTTATTCACATGTAATCTAAACAACTAGCACGTATGGAGATTTTAGGATTACCTCTTGAAGCGTAAACACAACAAATCTAGGTCGTTCTCCAGTTCCTCAGTTGAAAACACACTAGCAGATTTCCACAGTCTTCTACTGTGTTACCCAAACAATAACCGAAAAAAGAGAATTTTGGGTGGGCAAAATTCTAGTAGAAACCGCAGTCAGAATCATGTAAAAAACGTCCAACCATTATATCCATATATATAGCTGCGTTTTTAGGTCAAAACCGNCAGATATCAGGCCTAGTGCATAACATAGCATACATGAGGCTCCCCACAGCTGATGCATAAGGGACCGCCTTTATCTTTTCTATCTCTTCATCAGTCTTAGGATAATGATCTTTAGATAGAGAAATTCCATGTCTGAAAGGAAGGAATCCTTTCTTGGAATCATGCATGCTAAACCTGGAGAGTATTGTATCAATATAAAGACATTGGGACAAGCCTAATATCCTTTTCTTGCGATCTCGCAAGAGTTTGATCCCAATGATATGAGCCGCTTCTCCCAAATCTTTCATATCAAAATGTGTGGACAACCACTGCTTAACTGA